TCACACACTCTGCTTCAAGACTCTACTTTTCTACTCATATCTATTCATATAACATCCAATGAGTTAATATAACACTTCACCACTCAGAACCCTAATCTTACATTAAATCACTAATTCATCCCTAATCAGTCATTAATGCAAGGTTAAAATTTTAGGATGTTACAAGGAGCATGGGAAGCATTGGATGAAATGCCAAAGAGAGGCATTTTGGGTGTGATTATTGATCAAATTTAGGGAGCTTATGTGGCAGCTGAATATGAGCTAAGGAGGAGTCACATTTCCCTACACATGTTCACATGTCCCTTGCCACATTTCCACTCATTTATTCCCATTTTAGATTTATTTCCATCCATTTTCTAGGTCATTTTCAAACAATTCAAATATGAAATTTCCTTGTTTTTATCACCATCTAGTTTGGTTTTATCACCAATCACATTTTCCATGCTTATTAATCCTTCATTTTTCATTTCAACTTCATTATTCACTTTTCTTTAGCATTTTATTTCCAGATTCTCTCTTCTTCTGATTCTTCCTCTTCCAACATTATTTCACGTCCAGCCAGTTCAAAATTCTAGATTCTACTTCTTCATCTTCATTCATCCATGGAAGCCTCTCAAGCTCAAGGACTCAACCAAGTGATAAAGAGGAGCATGAGTGGCTGACTCCTTATTGAGCTTCGAGGAAGATGAACTTATGGTTTGAGATTTTTAGATTTGTTTTCCTCACTCATATTTTCAATTCTGCAATTTCTTTTACCTTCTTTAGGAATTTGAAATTATTAATCTAGTTGGTTATGGATTTTGATTCCATTTTCATGTTTAGATTGAAGTTGTGGATTTTAAGTTAAGATTAATATTGTCTTTCAATTCTGGGATTTATGGATTCATTTAAATGTTCTTGAATGTGTTCATATGTTTTTGGTGTTTTTGTTCAGATTTTCTTTTTAGCTTGAGCAAGATCCATATGAGTTTATATGAATGTAGTTTAAGAGGTTTTTCTTCCACTTAATTTGGTCTAAACTATATGAATAACACTGATCACATTATTAATTTTTTCACTTGGCTTAAATTCTTTAGTGAACATTGGATTTAATGATTCACAACACTTTAAAGGTTTTAAAGTATTCTTCATTAAGCTAATTGTAATTACTTGTGTGGTTTCAAATTTGCAATTCAAGGATTATTACAAGGGATTCTAACTTAAGCTCATCATCTCACACATTCATATCATCACATTAAAATCAAAAATTACAAACATCTATCATTCTCTTATTCTTTTAACTTGTTGGCAATTGGTTTCATATCATCTCATTAAAGTTAGAAACTATAAAAATTTGTTTCTTGCATTTTAGACGTAGTTGCATCAATTGAAACACTCTTTAACTTGTTGGTAATTGAACTAGAAATTTATATGCATTATTCTCTTGAAAGATGACCTAGAATGCTCATAACTACATTCTAGATTTCATTGATGGCCTAAAGCGGCTTAGGACTTCATCATAATGTCAAGGCAAACATGACACATTTACTCAGATTCTTGTTACACTTAAAACATGCCAATTTGTGAATGGCCCAAGACAATTTGTCATTCTCCTTTACCCAATTGTTAATGATATGCAACACTTGTGCATTTACTCATATTCTTATTACACTTAAAACATGCCAAGTTGTGAATGGCCAAAGACAACTTGTTATTTCCCCTTGCCCACTTGTTATCCCCCCTTACTTAGTTGTTAACGATTAGCATGCAACACTTGTACATTTATTTAGATTTTTATTGCACTTAAAAACTTTCAAGTTGTGAATGGCCCAGGATGACTTGTCATTCTGCCTTCTTCAGTTGTTTTTCCATATTGCCTACTTGTTAACAATTATTATTAGCACTTGGAAACATTTCAAGTTGTAAATGGCCTTCGCCTACTTATGATTTCCCGTTGCCCAGTTGTAAATGATTATTAGCTCAATTAAAACATTTCAAGTTGTGAATACCATGATATAAGCATTAAAACTAGTAGTCACCATTGATATTGCATTTACTAAGTACAATATCCAAAATTATAGAGTCTAAAAAGGTGATAACATTGTGTAAGTAGGTAAGTACACAATACACAAAATAGTTATACCCTAAAATGATCTACACAAGTTGGTAGCCCTTATATCTTCTCTTTTTGTCTTATTTCAATCATGATCACATAGACATCATAATAGGTTCCTTCTCATTGTTGCGATGATTGATATGCCACTACATGTATTCAACATTCTTCTATCGAATGTCATCCTACATAAGCAAAGCAGTCATATAATTCACAACATCAATATAGATTTCATGTTATAGTCAAATAGTCCATAAAACACTCATACATCAGAGTATTCTAGCATCACATAACCGTCCACATCCAAGTAAGTCTTACCCCGTAATTGTAACCATATGATCACATAAACACCACAAAAATAACTATAATCAAAATTTATGATATAAGTACAAAATTAGTCTACTCAATTAGAACCATGAGGAAATCACACATAAGTACTAAATTAATGATACTCACATATCTTTATGCACACTTACTTTAAGCCAGATAACATCTAGGTTCGTGTCATCCTCAAATACATCTGGTTTAATAGTAAGGAGTATTTAGAAGCAGTTCCTCTGTATAAAAATTAAGACTGTCCATTTCTAACTATGTATAAGGAAAGGAGAAGTAAATATTAAGTAAATGACAAGTCCAGACATACACAAGCATGTGCCAACTTTTCTTTTACATCCACTTCTAATTATGCTACTATCTCATAAGTCACAAGTAGCCTCTAACAAAATATTGCAACTACCCAATTCATGTTAGAAATTATGCCTTAAGGCCAACAATTATACTATGAATATTGTTATTTAATGAATTTATCTTATGTTATCATATTAATAATATATTCACTACAATAACTGTATCATTAGATAAACTATAGTAATTGTTCTAAATGTCCCTAGTCTGTCATCTATGAGGGATTATAGATGAAATATGACTAATATAACTTTGATCAATTATAGAGATATAAATCAAAGTCATAGAAACTTGAAAGGGTTCAAGATACTGGACCAACCCATCTATATATATATAATAGAAGAATAACAAGCGCATCTTTATGAATGACAAGTGTCATTTTTTTAAATAGTACAATTTTAGAAAGCCATGTAAGATTTTATTTATAAAATTATTTTTAATTCATGAATATAATTTATTTTTATTCTTTCATTTTAGTAACGAATTAACCCATGATCTAATAATTTCCTAATTCCACGATTCCTCTTTTAGATATGGTTAGTTATTCAACATTCTATCATTCAAATAGTAAATTAATATAAATAAACAAATAAAAAATGAATTAAATTCGTATGACTTAATAAAATAATTACATTAAATTCTTTATACCTTATTAATTAATATAATTCTAATTTATAATTTAATTAAATATATATGATTTATGAATTGAGTAATTAAGTTAAATTATAATATTTAAAATAAATATAACAACATAATTTTCTTGATATTTTAATTGTCATCTCGTGCAAACATGTAAACAATAAAATAAAATTCTTATTTATGAAATTCTTAATTTTCTTTATTTTTTTGATTCATGCATATAATTAAATTTAAATATAGATATTTATTTAGATTATTTATTCTGGTAACTTCTTAGCCTGTAATCTAATAATTTCCTAACTTCACGATTCCTCTTTAGATATGGTTAGTTATTCAATATTCTATCATTCAAATAGAAAATTAATATAAATTAACAAATAAAAATGAATTAAATTCATATGACTAAATAAAATAATTATATTAAATTCTTTATATGTTATTAATTAATATAATTCTCATTTATAATTTAATTATATATATATGATTTATGAATTGAGTAATTAATGGATATTAAGTTAAAATATAATATTTAAAATAAATATAACAACATAATTTTCTTGATATTTTAATTGTCATCTCGTGCAAACATGTAAACAATAAAATGAAGTTCTTATTTATGAAATTCTTAATTTTCTTTATTTTTTTGATTCATGTATATAATTAAATTTAAATATGGATAGTTATTTAGATTATTTATTCCGATAACTTCTTAGCCCGTAATCTAATAATTTTCTAACTCCACGATTCCTCTTTTAGATATGATTAGTTATTCAATATTCTATCATTCAAATAGCAAATTAATATAATTAAACAAATAAAAACTGAATTATAAACATATGACTTAATAAAATAATTACATTAAATTCTTTATATGTTATTAATTAATATAATTCTCATTTATAATTTAATTAAATATATATGATTTATGGATTGAGTAATTAATGGATATTAAGTTAAATTATAATATTTAAAATAAATATAACAACATATTTTTTTTGATATTTTAATTGTCATCTCGTGCAAACATGTAAACAATAAAATGAAATTCTTATTTATTAAATTCTTAATTTTCTTTTTTTTATTCATGCATATAATTAAATTTAAATATAGATAGTTATTTAGATTATTTATTTTGGTAACTTCTTAGCCTGTAATCTAATAATTTCCTAACTCCACGATTCCTTTTTAGATATAGTTAGTTATTCAATATTCTATCATTCAAATAGAAAATTAATATAAATAAACAAATAAAAATTGAATTAAATTCGTATAACTTAATAAAGGAAAACAACAAATTAGGAAAACATTCTAAGAGCGTAAAAACTGAAATATCGTCTGAGGTTTTTCTTATAACTATCCCACCCCATATCTCCACATCTCCACCTCACTTTTCCCAATTCTCCATGCCTTTTCTTGCTAAATGTGTAGTCTTGTTATGAGATCATGGGGTTGTCCTTTCCTTCACACGTTCTTAACTTGCATGGCATGCGAACTAAGAGAGTCATATATAAAAATGGCATCCCCACACAGTGTGAGGCAAACTCAATCATTTGTAAAATTTCCAACAGTGATATTGTTCTTTCAAATGGCTGCAACATTTAATTGCATTCGTTCCATTAATCAATCTCGTGAGGATTGGAAGATCAAAGTATGCATTGTTCGATTGTGGTCTATTGCTCCTCATGCTGTTTCAAACGAGCCTACATCACTTGAGATGGTTTTGCAGGATGAAGCTGTGTGTTGCATTCTAATGTTTTGAATATTCTATGATTCATTTAATAGACTGATTGATTCCTTATAAAACCATATTTTTATATTTTCAACTTGATTTTTTTTAGGGTGATCGAATTGGAGCTTTTGTTAGGAAAGGAGTTGCTCGTCACCATTCTCGATTTCTTCGTGAAGGTCGTGCCTTTATTCTCATGCAATTTGGTGTTGTTGAGAATTCTGGATCATACAGGACCACACACCATGCTTTTAAAGTGATGTTTCAATATTCGACTACTGTGCGACCTGTGGTGGATAACAATAAGATCCATTCTCATGGCTTCTACTTTACCCCATTTAGTGATATCATATGCGGTGATTCAAGGGAGGAATATTTAGTTGGTAGGTCATTCTTCTATAATGCATTAATATACGTTTTTCTTTGTTTCCAATTTCATACCGTAAAGTTTGTTGTTTTTGAATGTAGATATCATAGGGAGACTTGCTGCAGTTGGGGAGATTCAAAAAGTTGTTGTCAATGGACGACAGGAGCAAAGGCTTGATATATTATTGGATGATGATAAGTATAAAGATCTGCTTACCTTTATGTGTTTTTAGGGTTTTACAATGATTTTAGAGATTAAATTTGATTATTTAATGGTTTTTTAGCAATGATTTTAGAGATTAAATTTGATTATTTAATGGTTTTTGTGCGAGAATAAATAGGAGAAATTACCTTGAAGTTACTTTATGGGGTGCCCTTGCCAATGATGTTCTTCGCTATATGAAAGGCCCCACACATTGTCCCATCATTGTGATTGTCCAGTGGTGCAAGATACGAGTTTTCAAGGGTGTGTTACCACAACTATCTGTTCAACTAATGTTTTCATGAATATTCATTATGGTGGTGGTTTTTTTTCAGGGATTAAGAAAGTTTCCAACTCTCTTTTCGCTTCCCATTTGTTCATCCATCCTACCATGGATGAAGTCAGCACCTTTGTTGAAAGGTGAATTTTACACATTTTAGTGTTTCAAGTGGAATCTCTTATATTGTAATTATTTACTGTCTATTTCGATTTATTCACTACTTCTCTGAGTTTAGCCTTAAAGTTGCTGGTGTCAAAATTGAGAAGAGGCCAATTCACCTTCCTAATTAACCTACCTTAAGTGTCGAGGATGAGATCTTGCACTGCCTGAATCGTAAATATATATGCCAGCTTCGTGGAGGGCCACTTGTAATTTTTTTATATATCTTTTGTGTTGTATACAACTTAAGTTTAGGGTCATCAACTAATAATCTTAATTTTTGGTGAATAATAGGATGCTATTGCGTTATCTATGCTGAGGTTGTTAGTGTTGACACCGAGCGGGGATGGTATTATATCGGCTGCCAAAAGTGTGCAAAAAAGGTTCTTCCTGATGGCGATGGTTTTTACTGTGACAAGTGTAATGAGTTCGTCAAGTCTGTGTCTCTAAGGTATAAAGCTTATGTTGCTTTCTATTTGTTTTATTGCAGCAAGTGTTTTTGGTGGTTGATGTGTTAAGTGGTTGTTTCTATGTTACATTCAGGTTTCGTGTGTGGTGTCGTGTTTATGATGCATCTAGCTCAACTGATGTTCTTATCTTTGACAAGGAATTTGCTGCCTTCATAAAATGCTCTGCTGCTGAACTAAAAGAAGTATAGGAAGGGTGAGTAATCAAACTACAATAGTCATGATTTTTTGGTTTCTTATTCTTATATTTATATATATATATATATATTTAGTTATATTACACATTACATTTTATATGGTTGTGCATTGTAGATGGATGTAACTGGTGTATGTGAAGGTAATGGCTTTGATAAGATAATAGGGAAAAAGTTCCTTTTCCGTGTTAGAATTTTAGAGGATTATGCTAAGGGCCTCCCTTGTGGCATTATAGTAAATGGAATGACTGATGATGAAAACACTGTGAAGAGTTTTCTAGATGAATGGGATCAACAAGCGCCTTCACCTAAATGTGTAGCACAAACACCCTCAATTGAGAAAAATGTATGTTCTCTTTCTGCCTTAAATAGATACTATGTGAATTCCTTTTTTTTTTTGTTTCTGATATATCATATCCATGCTATTTTTATTGAAGGAATCTACTGAAGATAGTTCCTCAACCATTACTCCATCAGAAGTTATTGAAGTTGGATCTGCCAATGGTGATGAGAATGTTGAAAAGTCTCATATTGCGTACAACTTGCGCAAGGGGAAGAAGATTAAGTTGGAAGCAAATGAGGAGTGATAGAAGATTGCTAATTTTGCTAGACTTTAGTTAAATTTCTCTAAATCTTGCTTTCCTCTGAACAAGCAGCATATTATTATTTTATTTTACATTGTTGAACTTAGTTTTTGTAATAACCCAGGAATTTTAAAAAAAAAAATAAATATATATGTTTTATTTAGTTGTAGTTATATTAATTTTGGTGCAATTATGACAAGAGGAAGGGTTGGTATAGTGGAAGAGTGCATGTGATTTATATATGGGATCCAGAGTTCGAACCTGCTGAAGCATTTAGGAGCTATTCTTTTTAATTTTCTTTATTTTTAGCCTCTAAATTACCAAAATGCCCTCAGCCTATCAGATATAATTTCTTTTTTCTTCTTCCTCTTTGCTGAATCGTGTTGGGCATCAGAGAGAGAGAGGGAAAGAAAAATCTGGAAGTTGCGTGCGACCTCTGTACCTTCTGCCATTCTCGACCTCTGATCCTTCTTCTTCATTCCTTGTCGCCGCCGACGAGGCAGACGAGTTGCCGTGAGGTCGCTGTCGCTGTGCGATGCCCAGGTTCTTGCTCGTTCTTCTCTGTCTCTGTTTGTCTTCTCCACTGTTGCTCTATTTTCGCTGTTCTCATGCGCGTAGTTGGTGTGCGTGAGAGTCAGGTCGCCGGTGCTGCAAACGTGGGCTGTGATCGTCCACTGTTAGCAGTCCTAGTCATGAATCCATAGTTCTTCACTCTGCCGTCGATCTCTGCGCTTCTCTTCACTGTTTATGCTGTTGAAGTTTCTTCTTCTTCCTTCATCCTTCCCATTCGTAAGTGATAAATAAATGAAGGGTTGGTGTGATGCTATGGGAGAATTGATTCTTGAGTAGGAGGCTAGTTTAATGTTGTTATTTTGTTCCCCTGTTCAGCTGTGGTTGCATTTTCTTCTACCCATTTGTGTTACGTTGGTGCATCTAAAGGGAGCAACTTTGATTTTTTTTCTTTTCTTTATGGAATCTGTGAGTGTGAGAGGTTATAGAGTTGAATGGAAAATTTTTCTTTTGTGTTTTGTTGATACTCATGGCTATTTGTTCAAATATGAAGGGGAGGCTTGAATCAAAAAAAAAAACAGAGAGAGAGAAAGGAAAAGGATGATGTAGATTTGAGATTTAATTGAATTTGATCTAATTATTGGCTATAATACTGACCTTATGAAATCTTTGAAAGTGAAATTGATGAGGAAGAAGGTGGTATTTGTTTAAGTTATAATGCTCATAAAGTGTTTGATTAAATGCCCATGAGGGGACTTTTGTTTGAAATTATAATTATTAAAAATTTCATTAAATTACTTGGAAGACATAATTGGTTGGAATGCTATTATCTTATGAACTTAGTTTGAAATTTACAAAAGAAAATATTTGATTGGGTATTTTTCTATAATTTTGTTGGATCTCGTAAGAAACATGAATTGGCTTGGGTATTGCTCATTTGTGAATTTGAATCAAACATTGTGAAGAAATTTATTGAGAGATTAAGTGAATTCTTGAAAGTTTTATGGTTATTAATTTATAAAATATAGTGTTGCCTTATGATTTAATCTTGGAATCGAATGAGAACTGGAAAGAAATCTTTGTAATTATAGGAATCTAATTAAATTGCATTATCTTATATTCTTATAGGGGGTTTGGAAGAAGAAGATTTTGATAGGAACTAAAAGGGAGAAAATCTTTGAAAATTTGGGAACACCACAGGTAAGTGGATAACGTCCCAATCAATATATATTGAAAATATTTCCTTTTCAAAAGATCGCTTTTAATAATTTATGGATATTTATAAATTTCTCTTGCTTTAGCTACTTTGTTTATTAAATTGCTCTGCTTCTTAAAGTCATGACTTATACTTTTTATATTGATGAAAATGCTTTCTTAAATTCTAGTAGTGCTTTATTTGATAAAGCTAATTAAAAAAAAAATTTGTGACCAGTTTATGAGATATTAATTGTGAATTTTATATTTAGAATTATGGGTGCTCTTATATGTTTCATGCGAGTTAGATTTTTAAAAGAGAAATAGTATTTTGAAAGTGATGATTTTCTCGCATGTCTGAAAGTGAATTTAAAAGGGGACTGTATACAGAACGCTGGTTGCTAACGGCAGTTTCGTTAGCCCTTGGCGCGCCATGGTCAAATACTAGCTAGTTTGGATTTCGTGAGCTTTGTTCTCACGTCTGTTATTCGTGGGTCTTGTACCTGCGTCTGTTTCGTGGCTTTGACCACGTCTGGTTAGTTACCCTCGTGGACTATGTGTCCACGTCTGTTTCGTGGCTTCGGCTACGTCTGGTTATTTACCCTTGTGGACTTTGTGTCCATGTTTGTTTTCGTGGCATAAGCCGCGTTTGGTGATTTATTCTTGTGGACTGTGTGTCCACATTTGTTACTTGTTCTGATAAGTCCCTATACTTATGAGTTTTTAATTTTTTATGGATCTATTTTCATTGGTTTTGATTAATGACATGTTTACAATTAGTTATTGCAATTATTTGCTTTATTAAAGTTAAATGATAATGACATTTGATAAGATACTTTAATGAATTATGATTTTATTTAAAGTTACATAGGATCCTTTTATTCCGAATTTATTTAAATCTTCATGGAGATTATTATGTTTTAATTTTCCTTTTATTCATGTTTAATTAGTTATTATTGGGACGTTATTCACTGGAAAATAATTGTTGGTCTCAGATAGTGTAGCTGACGCTGAAACATCTACTGAACATTGAGGAGTTTGTGATTGATTAGAAGCGGAGGAGCTAAGGGTTAAACTTTCTCTTGACGTAAAGTTTTAATTATGAAATTTTATTTTGTAAACTTATTGTTAGGTGCTCCACATAGTCTGTGGTCAGGTTGTTTATGTGGTTATATATTTTGTCTATTGGCTGGAAGGAGCTCTACTCCTGATTGGCTTGATATTTTTGGTTGAAATATTGTTTTGTAGAATTTTCGAGAGATCTTATTTACAGAGGAGATTCTGTCAAAATTTCTGCAAAAATATTGACACTTTTATTACTACCAAAAATGTTTATGTATGTTCTAATTCAAACTAAAATATAATTATCTTTTAGTTATGAAAAGGTTATCCAAATCCGAGGCTTAAGGGATGTGTGATGGATCACATCCTTTGCCGGTCACCCTCTATTTTTGGGGTGTGACAGATTGGTATCAAAGCCTAAGTTTTTCTATAGCTATGTGGAGCAAGGACACTTCAATGGGGCCTCAATTATCATTATGAACCCGGGCATAATCATAATTAAGGCATCATTGAAGGCCTTCTAGGGAGATCTTGGATGTTGTTTCTTTTGTTGTCTTTGATTTCCCTTATCATATAAGTTTTATTTAGTTGAAGTGAATACTTTTTATGTTTCCTTAATTAGTGAAAATGCCGCCTCGACATCGAGTGTCTACTAAAAGTAGAGGTAGAAGTAGAGCTAGGGGTGGTCAAACCCTTAGGCCTCTTCAAGACATTCCTTCTAGAGCTGAACGTGTAAGTTCTCAGTTTGAGGAGCAAACTGCCCCTTTGACACATAATACTCAAGAGGAAAATCCTACAGTTAAATTGTCAGAATTTATGAAGTTAAACCCACCTTCCTTCTCTGGGACTAATGCACAAGAAGACCCGATTGAGTTTCTTGAGGTTATTGAAAAGAGGTGTCGGGCCTTAAGATGCCCTGATGTGCAGTATGTTGAATTTGCAATATTTCAGCTTCAAGGAGTGGCAAATACCTGGATAAAAACTGTGCCAGGTATAATGGCAACTGGAGTACCACCATTGTCATGGGATGAGTTCAAGATTGTTTTTCTGAAGCATTATTTGCCACAAAGTACTAGAGATGCAAAGATTGAAGAGTTTTTAACCTTGAAGTGCAGCAAGGGAATGTCGATAGCGGAGTATGATCATAAATTTACAGAGCTATCTTCCTTTGCTTCCCATATCGTGCCAACTGAGAGGGAACGGATTAGCAGATTTATACATGGGTTGCCAATAGATATACATGATTCTGTAGCTCCTATGCTGGATTACTTTAAAACCTATTCTGAAGTTGTAGATAGTGCATTGAGGATTGAAAATCGGCATAAGGAAGATGAGATAGCTTCTAAGAAATGCAAAGTAGAAAGTAATGAAAAGTTTCAAGGCTCTTTCTCTAGAAGCCATCAAATTCAGAGTCGATCTCATTCTCATACCCCTCAATCTATGCCTGGGGTATACGAATCCCCATCAGCAAATATCCCTGCTAGTCCTAGTTTTGGGAATGTTAAACCCCAAACTCGGTTAATAGTGAAATAGTCAGGTTATGCTAGAGTCCCTTGTGCCATTTGTGGGAAGTATCATACGGGGCCATGTCATAGGGTGACTGGTGCATGCTTTAGGTGTGGACAGATGGGTCATTTAAGAAGAGACTGTCCTTTTGCTCAATCTATGTCGAGCCATGAATTAATTCAACCTCATCCCTACCCTATTTCATCTTTAACTCCGCCTGTCGAGGCCACTTTTACTTCAGCTACTAAGAGTATGTCAGGAAGGGGAAAGGGAAAGCAGTAACAGTCTTCTAGGGAAGGACAAGCAAGAGTTTATGCTACGACGAGACAAGATGCTAGAACTTTAAATGCTGTTGTTACAGGTACTACTATTATATCTTTAATTAGGCTTATGCATTTTTAATTTTGGATCAATTAAGTCATATGTGTTTGTTTATTTTGCTAAGAGGTTAGGTAAAGAATCTAATAAACTTAATAATTCATTTGTACTTAGTACTCTAGTTAAGAAATATCTGATTGTCTCTTATGTGTATAAGTCTTATAAAGTGTCTCTGGAGGGTAGAGAAACCTTTATCAATTTGGTGATATTTGATATGATTGAATTTGTTGTGATATTGAGCAAGTATTGGTTAATTTCCATTATGCTACCATTGATTGCCACTTGAAGGGGGTGAAATTTTATATTTTAAGTGAAACTCCTTCTATATTGCAAGGGAGTTTTATGGAAAGACT